TGCCGTGCCTCCAGTCCCTGCGGCTTGTGAGTACAGGCACCGGGCGGGCAAGGGGGGCTGGCAAGGGGGCTGCTCCCCCAGGAGGGTGATGGGGGGGCTCAGCTGAGGAGCCAGGATGAGGGGGGAGAGGGCGACTCGGCTCCTTACCTGGCCTGTGGCGGCCGGTGCGACATGCTGGCGCGGGGCGGGGAGCCGGCCAGGGTCCCGTCCAAGCTGATAAACTTTACATGGCCACTCGTGCGGCCCCGAGCCGCTCTTCCCCGCCGCTGCTGGGGTCCGGAGCCCATCCTCTACCTCCTGGGGGAGCAGCCCCCTGGCCAGCCCTCCTTGCCCGCCCAGTGCCCCTACTCACCAGCTCCAGGAACTGGAAGCCGGCCACCACCCTCTCCCTCCAGGCTTGCCCTGCCATTACAGCAGCAAGCCTGGAAGGGAGGAGGAGTGCCACATGCATGGGGAAGAGGCGGGGCCAGGGTGGTGATTTGGGGAGGGAGCCAATGGGGGAGGGAGAGGGCGGAGTCGGGGGGGGCAAGAGCCCTTCCGGGAGGGCAAAATTGCTTGTTTGTCCAATGTCCCGACTGCACATTGGTCGGGACGCGGGACAAACATGCAAATATCGGAACAGTCCCGATAAAATTGGGACGTCTGGTCACCCTAGATACATAGTCAACATGATAACCAGATACAAAAATGATACATGCACAGAAATAGGATAAGCATATTCAGCAAATCATAACTTTTTCATAGACACCTCACGTGACACATTTTGCACAAGATGCATCATAATTCATTATATTATAATGATACCACTATGATGAATATGGGGTGCAGTGTCACACACCTGCTTTGCTACTGCTTGGGATACCCCGATCTTAGGCACACAGGGGGAAGCAGATACTGGATGATAGCGACTCCCCACAAAGCCCTGGCTCTGGCTCCTCCCAAACTGCTGGCCACCAGAGCAGATCAAGTGCAGATAGGGTAATAATTTGCTGGTGATCAGGACCAGCAGCAAAATACTACCCTCTGGAGCAAATAGGGGGAGCCTTGCTGAGACATGATTCTTTCCCTGTGGTGCTCCTAGGACAGAGTAGCTCCATGGTGGTGCCCCTTATGTTGGCCGAGTGGCAAAGCCACCATCTAGCACATTGACATTATTGTTTATATAAATATTTTTTAAAACAAATCATACTACATCATCACATTCTCTTTCCCATCTCTTACACATTATCTATAGTGTGACAGACCCAGATCAGGGGGGTACAGGAGTCTGGTATAGGTCAAATATACTGGTCACTGGATGAGTAGTTTTCTGTTCCCTGAGTGACCGGAGAAGGGGCTGTACTAGAGTAATCAGGAACCTGCTAAGGCAGGTAGGCTAATTAGGACACCTGGAGCCAATTAAGAAGAAGCTGCTAGAATCAATTAAGGCAGGCTAATCAAGGCACCTGGGTTTTAAAAGGAGCTCACTTCAGTTTGTGGTGTGAATGTGAGGAGTTGGGAGTAAGAGGTGCAAGGAGCTGAGAGGGTGTGCTGCTGGAAGACTGAGGCGCACAAGTGTTCCCAGACACCAGGAGGCAGGTCCTGTGGTGAGACTAAAGAAGGTGTTTGGAGGAGGCCATGGGGAAGTAGCCCAGGGAGTTGTAGCTGTTATGCAACTGTTACAGGAGGCCCTATAGACAGATACAGTCCACAGGGCTAGAACCTGGATTAGAGGGTGGGCATAGGTTTCCCCCCAAACCTCCCAATTGACTTGGACTGTGGCTTCTTCCAGAGGGGAAGGTCTCTGGGCTGTTCCCCAACCCACATGGTGAATCTCTGTGGCAAGAAAATCTGCCAATAAGTGCAGGACCCACCAAGATAGAGGAGGAACTTTGTCACAATAGGTTTATCTCACACATACAGCTGTAAGTATGAAAGGGGGTCAATTTATCAATTTGCCATAGTGTCAGTTTGTTAGATTTCAGCTTTAAAAACTAACTAGGTTGGCCAATACATAAGAGAATCCAATAGGATAACCCCTTTTTATTGAGTGTATGGAGCATTTGCTTACTAGTCTTAATACTAGATTCTCCTCAGGGCATCTTTTAACTTGAACAGTATTTCTCAAATCAGAACATTTGCTTGTTCTTAACCACCCAACAACTTATTAATTCACTCAGAACCACATTAATATATAAACACCAGTTCTTCACTCAAATGTAGACACTCACAATGTGTCTACAGTGTGACACTGTCAATGTCTGTCTCTCTCTCTCACATGCACACACCAGTCTTATCACAGATTAGAGTTGAGACTCGGCCGTTATATCAAGGTATGATGCAAATTACCAGGACTTGTTACATTTACTTATGATCATCACTTCTCCATTCTTTAATACCTATCATATTGATCATACTTCCAAGGATGTACTTGTCTTCCAGGCACTTTGAAGAGCGTGGTTAGTACAGTTTGAATGGATTGATCCAAAAGGGACAAATTTAGACTATTAAAAGCAATTGGTTAAAACAATTCTTTTCAATCTCTTAGACCAATTTTATTGGCATTAAAAAGGTGCTAAAATCTAAAATACGTAACTTGAGGTCTCCCTAAAGAGCATAGGCTCAGCAAGATAGCCTATTGTTATTTATATTAAAGAATAGAAGGGGAAATACAAGCTTTGAAATTAAATCTCACCACTTCTTCTTCTTATCTTAACCCTTGGATGAGGGAAAGTCCTTTCCACATAGCTGGTCCAGGCATCAGTTGCACTTAGGATTCTTCAGCTTCTTGTTGGGTTCAGTCAATCAACTCTATTGCACACATGGTGACTTCAGTGTATATACCCTAATTTCAGGGCTTGTAGGAGGGGGCCACGCTATTATTTCCATTGGACATGTGCCAAGTGAGTGCTTAGGTTTTAGCTCTTTCAGTTTCACTGCTGCTTCCACTGGTATCCAATAAATGATATTGGTGTATAACAAATTTCTTCAATTCTTTTATTATCAGAGGCTTTTTAGTCTTGATTTGTTTCAAAGACTATATTTCATTATTTGCCCCTACTATCAAGTGTGATCCCCCATTTTAAACCATTTCTCTTGATATCCCAAAGTTATACCCTGGTTTATATCTTTTAACATTTCTTCTTCCTTGTGTCAGATAATTCCTGTTACTTCTAGAGTGCAACAATTATTTACAATGAAAACCAACAAAATCCTTAGAATCTTCTAAATGTGGAGGACATATTCTTTGTGTACATAAGCATTTCACCTTATTTAGGACTTACAATAGAACAAGAGAGTTTTTTTTCACATATAGAAGTATGTAGATCTTACTGCCAAGGCCAACAAATGTGTAGACTCTAAGTTAGGGTGAAAGATTATTCAGTGTATATTTGATTTACAGGAACATAATATACAGTTTATACTTTGAGGGTGAAAACACTTTGCATAAGAAAGCAGTCTGTGACCCTTGCTTGGGAACTTGGGGTTCTTTTTTAGCGAGGTTGGGAGGGAGAAAGAGGTTTAATCCATATGCAAATTATGAGAGATTCTTGCCTAGGTGATTAACAGTACACTCATTTAAATAAATAAATAGAGATATCCTATCTCCTAGAACTGGAAGGGACCTTGAAAGGTCATTGAGTCCAGCCCCCTGCCTTCACTAGCAGGACCAAGTACTGATTTTGCCCCAGATCCCTAAGTGGCCCCCTCAAGGATTGAACTCACAATCCTGGGTTTAGCAGGCCAATGCTCAAAGCACTGAGCTATACCCCCTCCCCCCCCCAAAATTAGCCATTTTAGTTTCCATAGTTTCTATTCTTGGGGAGAGGAACTCCCAACCTTGGGAGATCTGTAGTTCCTAAAAGTTTCTCATGTGAACCATTTTGTTATTGTCTTTACTTCTTAGGTGGCTCCTATTTCGGGATAAACAGAGGTGAATAGCTTTTTTTAATTTTACCTGGGTCAGTAGGAATCAGTAGCTATTAATCATTCAAGGCATATGTTTCATATAACCCTTACACAGTGGTGTCATAAGCATTTCAATATTCACTACCCCATATACATACAGTTACCAGGGTGCCATTCTGTACTTAGGAAAGGTGCTAGTGCAGGACAGTGATTATTGCAAATCTTGTGTTTTGAAGAGAGTCCACTGTACAGTTCAGATCACTGGCATTCTGCAGTTGTTGCAGCATATGTTGCACCTTCTGCTGCTGGCTTGTATTGCAATACATTGTCTTTCAGCATATTTTTAGTAGTGATCTTCAGAACACTGTTTTCTATTTTGGAGGTGGAGAGCTAAAATTGAAAATACTGGATTTCCCCAAAGAAAGTGGCAGATTTCCTCATTTCCAGGTAATATCATTTTTATTGTCATAGGACCTGCATGGCTGCTGAACAAAGAGAACTGATTTTAGCATGCAGAAAACAAAGGATATGAATGAAACATTAGATGGGTGAATGAAAGAATTATTCACCTAATAAAATCTGATGGTTAAAAAAGGTCTTCATTAAATCCTGTCTTAAAGTTCATTTAAAAAATATATTTTGTAGCAAGTGGATGCCCTTTAATTAAACACACACAATTCTTTCTGAAGCATTTAACAACCGCTAAACATACAATCAATGTGTCTTAGAGAAACACTGTCTTTCTTTTTTACCGAGAAGGTGGCATTTACCCATGTCTTTCAACTGTAACCAGAGAATCAAATACATGAAACAAATTTGCTGGCTTCAGCAAAATGTATTGATTCCTGCAGGTTCTTGGAAAAAGTGCATTGTTTTATTTTCCATAGAGATGCTTCTTACTGCATATTACTGTAAGTCAGCCTGAGCGTCCTATGTATATGGTATGACTGCACTGCAGAAAATGTCTCGGGGTTTAAAAAGGAGGAGAGGATTTTTGTTTTTCCCAAATATGAAAAAAAACCTAGGTCTCAAAATGTTCACATTACACAACAAATGGAGTCAAAAAGGAAATTGAACAAAAATATCTTTTCTATTTTGTAAAAGAATTATTACAATAAGATGCCATATAAGTAATACTCTGTATGTTATATCTGTCTCTCTAGCAATGTCACATATAAAACATACAATCTATGATCCCCCACTTTTATATAACATCGCATGTTTGGTAAGAATTGGACCTCATACAAAGGAGTCCAAATATAATGAAAAATAACACAACAATGAAAGGGTAGATACATTTCTAAAATACTTCAATCCTGGACTTTCTCCCTTCAGTTATCGTGGCTTATTTCATGGAGGAGATGGAGAGTGTTCATTACTGCTCCACAAGTATTATCAATGCATTCCCCGTCTACCCAATGGGAGGGAATCACCACACGGGAATCCTCACAGAGATTTCCTCCCAGAAAGTCCCTCTTGCAGCTTTTAACACAGGAGGAGACTACATAGCCTGTTAAAAAATTGTCCTCCTGTTATGTTTTTTCAACTGAAACTCCTAATTAAGAGGAAAAATAGGTCTCAGGGGAGTTGAATTTTGGTAATTCTTTATACAGCAGAGGCCACATGCTGGATTATAATAAAGCTCAACCAAATATGTAAGAAGATATCAATATTAACACAATTACACCAACATTTATTGGAGGCCAAATCATATATATTCTCAATGGAGTCAAAATGATAGGTTCTGACCTCCTCTGTTCCTAGGGGGTACTTGACCCTGCTCTGCCCCAGGCCCCACCCCTACCCCGCCTCTTCCCACCTCTCCCTACCTGCACTCCTCTTCCTCCTCCCCAAACTGCTGATCATGGTGGGTGGGAGGTGCTGGGAGGGAGGAGGTGGCACAAATCCGCAGGGTTGCCGGAGGTTGCTGAGCACCCACTATTTTTCCCCCCCATGGGTACTCCAGCCCCGGAGCACCCATGGAGTTGGTGCTTGAGTCAAATGCATAGATACTATAAATGTATAGTAGCTTTCTTGGATTCAAGAAGAAATTGCTTTTCTCCATACAACTCTCCATTGTATATTTATGAATGGGGTTTCTAATTATGTATCCCATATATTAATATTTTTCTCTTTGTAGATTAGAAAACCTATAGTGGATATGATAATAGCATATTGTATCTTTGGGAAATTATTTTCTGCTAACTGGATTGAGGATCAACAGAGTTTCAAAATCAAAGAGACTTCTCCTATCTTGAGAACAAATTTTAGGGTAATCTGATTATGCTGAAAGATTTTGGCTTAACTTTTGCAAGTGATTGTGAGAACCCAATTTGGGACACCTTAAATTGGGATTTTCAGATGGCAGGTACTTATCATTTTCTGAAAACCAGGCCTCCTGAAGTTGTCTCAGGTTGGGCACTAAAAATCACTCATCACTGTTGCTGAACATTTATTTAGGTCTTTAAATTCAGAGAGGGAAATGTAATTTTAATAATTTTCTGAGGTGCAGAAAATCATGAATTTCCTATAAAAGTTTCCATTGATTTAGTCCTACCCTTTCCCAGTGTTTTTACTTTAATAGTCAATTCCTTGACTAAAACAGGAAGCAAGGGAGAGGTGTAGCCTGGCTCCATCCCATAATACTCTTGGTAACCTAGTTAACCCTATTATGACCACTTTACTACAAGGAATGTATTCTGAAAACTTAGGCCTAGTCTAGCACACTTTTTGTACCAGTATAACTATCTAAGTCAGCAGTGTGATTTTTTTTTTTAAATCAAAATAGTTATACCATACAATCTGTAGTGCGGCTGCAGTTATATTGGTATAAAGGTGCCTTATAACAGTATATTTTATCCCCATTCCCATACAGGAATAGCTATACTGATACAAAGCTTCTTTATACCAATATAATTGCATCCACACTAGGTGGGTTGTCCCATTTTAACTAATCTGGTATAATTAAAGCAGTGCACCTTTTGTGTTGTGACAAGCCCTTACTTAATTTGATGAATGTGAGAGAAAAAGGAAATGTAGTGATGAGTCCTTTGGTTGATAAGCCCTATTTATCCCACTGAAAGCCTGACTCCGATCAATGATTGTGTATATGATGAAGAGACTTATGGCTTTTTAGGAGCCCAAATCAAAGAATTTGAAAAAACCTCTCCTAAGGCATTATGTTCCATCTAAACCCAGGGAGTGTGGGAGTTTCACCTCCTGCCACAGAAAATCTTGTAGGACTGGGTCCTGGGGGAAGGAAACTCTGAAATTTCTATTTGGTGGATGGGTTTGTTGTGTAAAAGTGCCTATTACATGTGTATATGTGCACTGGGATGCAGGGACATAGTTTGCCATGTCTGGTTTGCTCCTCCGGCTTAGCCAGCCCATTTGTCTCTGATTTCTTTATTACGTACATGAGCCACGCTGTTCTCTATGGACCTTACTTCTGAAGCAGAATGAACTTACGAAATAAAATAAGAACTGGCTTGAACTTTTGCCTGAAATTGACCTGAGCCTCAATTGTTTGAGCATTGAAAAACTGAGTGTAGCTTTTAATTCCTTCCGTTTGCATGGGTTGACAATACATTGCACTTAATCAAAGTCTCAAAGTAAGGTGGGTTTTGCAGCTGCTGTTTAAAATCATTCTTGTAAGAAAATGAAGATAGGGTAGTTAATTAGCCACAGTATGTATCTTGACATTTCAAGAGAATTGTCCTTCATACCTACCAGGGAGGGTGATTGAGAAACCCGAGGAAAAAACAGACAAACAAAAAAACTTGGATTCATTAAAGGGTGAATAGGTCAGGTGGTGATTATGTAAATATTACTCACTGAAGTTAAACATATTTAAGACAGTATATAAGCATGAAATTGTGTATTGAAGGGAGTGGAGATGGCAGTGGGGAATGTCAGGTCTGTAAAATACATGATTAATTATGCATCCTCTTGCAGCCTAGTGATATGACCCAGGATATGAACCAAATGATTAAATCAAGTTACTTCTCACTAGATGGGAAACTGAAAATAAAACATATTGGCTCAGATCAATCGCTCATATGGAAAGTAATGCAGAAGGGAAACTATCACAATCATCCCATTCGCAGAGTTCCTCACATAGCTTCCTGTCAGAGGCTGCAGTGCTGTCCTCTCAAAGAATTGGCCTCAGTGCCCATTCACTAAACTGGCAGTCTCCCTGAGATCTGTGGAATCCCAGGGAGCCATCCATATGGAGGCTCTGACTCTGCGGCAGCTCTGCCATCCAATAGGCCTCCAATCCTAGGCACAACTGCTCCTGTGGCTACCTTTTGGACACCCGGGGAGAATATAGCAAAGGCTGTGGAGCTGGGAGTGGCTACCCCAGCTGTCACCTGACTGCTTTTTGGCTGGGCCAAACGTGAGCTGTGCTGTGACTCCTTGTGCCAGGTCGCATCACCATGCATACAATTAAGGGGGTGGATGTAGGGGCTCATAGGCCAGGGGGGACAGCTGGGAGAGGAGGTCCACCTCACAGGGGAAGAGGAGGGTCAGGTGGTCACTTTAAATGGCCTTGGTCAGTATTGTCTCTGTCTGTGTTATCTTTTGGGAGGATTCTCCATAGGGGCAGAGGGAAGACCATGTGCACCAGCCTCTCCCATTCCTGCCCTATATCTGCCCCTTCCCCATATATGGGTAGTACTCAGCTGATCTCACAAGGCAGGGTATTGTATTTACTAGTTAATTCTCTCAGTGCCATAGTGAAGTCTGGTTGAGCACAGATTAGGAGTGGAGTGGAAATGTTGTACCTATAACTAGAGAGTCGTAGGACTGGTCTACATGCAGATTTTGTACCAGTGTAGTTATTTCAGATAGTGGTGTGATTGGTTTTTTTTTTACTGAAATACCGAGAACCCATACTGTGAATGCAATTACAGTAACTCCTCACTTGAAGTCATCCTGGTTAATGTTGTTTAATTGTTATGTTGCTGATCAATTAGAGAACATGCTTGTTTAAAGTTGTGCAGTGCTCCCTTATAACGTTGTTTGGCAGCCGCCTGCTTTGTCCACCGCTTGCAGAAAGAGCAGCCCATTGGAGCTAGCTGGTGGGGGCTTGGAGCCAGGGTGGACCGGCAGCCCCGCTATCAGCTCCCTGCTCCCCTAAGTTCCCTGTGCGGCAGCCGCTCAGCAGGCTATCAAATTGCCAGCAGTTCAGGTATCCCGCCTCCCACTGCTGTGTGCTGCTCCTGTCCTCTGCCTTGGAGCTGCTCCCGGGAGCCTCCCGTTTGCTTTGCAGGGGATGTGGGGGAAAAGGGGTGCTAATGTCAGGGTGTCCCCCTCCCCTTGCCCCCCACTCCTGTACCTTATCTCCACAGAGCAAGGGGGGACATGACAGGGCTCAGGACAGAGGGAGCTTGCTGGCAGCAGCTGCTGTCTCAACTTGTTGATCTACTTAAAAAGGCAATATACTTAGAATGGGGTCAGAGTACTTAAAGGGACAATGCTCGTC